TCCCGTCAGTGTTCTGCTGTAACTGCTTGCATGTGATATCGATGACATCGTTTGACGGTTTGAGCATTCTGTTGAGTCCCCTTTCTTTGGTGCACACAGACATGGGTCGCTTCAAGTCAGTTGGCCAGGTGGCTCTCTTCCAAATTTCCTGGCAAAGACAAGTGAGTGTTTTCAGGGCCTCATCAGCTTTCAGAAGCCTTTCAGTGGGTATTCTACCCAGTCCTGGAGCCTTGTGTGTGGCTAATATTCTCAGTGCACCTTGACCGTCTTCCGTCAGCACCATTGGTTCTTGCTCATATGCTACCTCCTGAGGTGGTGGAATGTGGAACAGGTCATTTGTGGGTTTTGTACAGGGACTCTGCGTATTCTTTCCACTTTCTTTTGTTGCTCCCTGGATTATTCAATATTTTGCCTATAGAATCTTTCAATGCTGCAACTCGAGGCTTGAATTTTGTCTTGAATCGTTCAATTTAAGATACGCTGAGCATGTTCTTCTTGTGGTTTTCTCACTCTAGGACCTTGCACCTTTCATTCTAATATTTTATTTTGGCTTCTTGAGCTGCCCTTGGAAAGTTCTGTTCAATTGTTTGACTTCTTTTCCTCCATATGCCTTAGCTACTCCACGATTAAGAGCAAGTCTCAGTCTCTCCTGACATCCACGTTGTTCCTCTCTGTCCTGTCTCTTTAATGGCCTTCTGTTTCCTTCATGAAGGATGGCCTTGATGTCGCCCCACAGCTCATCATGTCTATTGTCATTAGTGCCCAATGTGTCACGTCTGTACTTGAGATGTTCTCAAAATTCATAGGAAATCGACTCAAGGTCGTATTTTCGCTCCCTTGGACTTGTTTTCATTGTTTTCAGCTTCAACCTGAACTTACACCTGAACCATCAACGGCCTGTTTCACAGTCAGCCCCATGGCCTGGATGGAGCTGCTGCTATTGAGCTGCTCCATTGTCTCTTCTCCCACATGCTTCCTCACACTCACCGTCATCAAGCCCATTCTCATTCATGACGAGCCTACAGGTAAGGGTAGACTTGCCCTTGTGGGTTTCTGAGACTGTAACTCTTCACAGGTGTAGAAAGCCTCGTCTTTCTTCCTTAGAGCAGCTGGTGGTTTCGAACCGCCATCCTTGAGGTTAGCAGCCCAGCCCAACAAGTAGTCCTGACACCAACAGTACTCTTAGATGCACTGGTGCAGAACCATAAAGAGAAATGATGTCCTGTGTGTGCCCCAGTCTAGATGAGCCCCCCCAAACATCATACTGGGTGATATAAGTCAGACTCCAAAGGACGGATCAACTAGAGAGAAGCCCAACTTTGTCTTTAGCAGCCAGGGTGGCGAGACTTCATCCCGCGTACTTTAGTTGTGTCACCAGGAGTGATAAGTCCCTTGTGCTCATGTGGAACTTGTACACGCATTAAGGGGCAGTCGTGTGAACAGAGCAAGGGGATATTGTGCGGTTTAAAATCAGGAACGATGTGCCTCAGGGTTGTGTCCTCTCACCCTACTTATTCAATTGATATGCTGAGCAAGCAATCAGAGAAGCTGCATTACCCGGAGCATAAGGTGGCATCCGAATCGGAAGAAGACTTATCTGAGAAACGCAGATGACACTACCTTGTTTGCTTGACGTGCGGAGGACTGGAAGCACTTGCTGATGCAAACCAAGGATTGCAACCTTCAAGGTAAACCCAATGTAAAGAAGACCAAATCCTCACAACTGGACCAGTAGGTAACATCATGATACATGGAGAGGAAATACTGACGTTGTCAAGGGCTTCGTGTTGCTTGGATCCACAATCAGCGTTCATGGAAGCGGAAGTCAAGCGATCAAGGGTGAATGGCACTTGATCC